GGAGCCGTGCTCGTGCCAAGTACCGAGGCCGTCATTCTCTCCTCGAGTTGACAGTGTTAGTCACGCCCTCCCCCCATCCTTGTCACCCCCAGCTTGCAGCAGCAGCTATCATCCCTTCCGATCCCCAACCCGACCACAGTCAGGATCCTCCTGCACGCCGGCGCTCGTCTGACTCGGCTCGCTCCCCTGGCCTTCTCACTGCCTTTGTTTTTTTGTTTTTGCTGGCTGCTTCCGTCTTCTTTTCTTTTCTTTTCTTTCCTCTTTATCCCCTCTCCTCCTTGTTTCGTCCCTTGGCCGTCTTCGTCCTTGGCCCTTTTCGCGGTCGACGCCGTGCCTCGACTTCATTGCTAACCTCCGTCACCATCGACCTCTAGCGACCCTCGTCGATCGTATATGCTACATCATCTTCACCCTATCGGATACCTGCCGCCTGCCTCATACTAGTCATCGACTTTCCCTTCTGGGCCTTCGATTCCTGCTACACCGACTTCCCATCTCGTTTCATCTTCCTTAGCCCGTTCGCCATATAGCCCTGTCTCGTCGCGTCTCGCCTCGTTGCGCCTTTCTACTTCTTCTTCGCCAATCCTTCTCCCCGTCCGAAGCTTCGTTCGTCCGAGTTTACATGACAACCTCGCTCGACGGCAAACTCCCTCGAACCTTGTGAGCCCCCGGGCTGTGACCGACCTCGCTCCTCTTCCTGCCACCGACAACGTTATACAGGAAGTCATGGCGAGCCGACAGGACACTTCCTCCCTCGGCTCCCGGCGGTCGGGTGGACGGAACGTAGGCCAGTTTGTCATCGACAAGGAGATTGGCAAAGGTAGCTTCGCCCAGGTGTATATGGGCTGGCAAAAGGTGCGATACCCTCTCCCCTAGCCGCTGTGGTTTCACCAACCAGTTTGCTCTCCGCCGCCGTCAAACGGTGTACCCTCGCGATGCCATCAAGCTGCCTCTTCTTCAGTCATCTCCCACAGCCAAGCTCAAGGCTTCATGCCTGACCTGTCGCCACACCTCAAGGAGACCCCTCTTTGCTTTGACCTGCTTCCGCTCTGTGGCAATGTGTACGCTAACCATGCTCCGCATCTACCAGGACACGAGAGCTGCCGTGGCCATCAAATCCGTCGAACTAGATCGCCTGAACAAGAAGCTGAAAGAAAACCTATATGGCGAAATCCAAATCCTCAAGACCCTTCGGCATCCGCACATCGTTGCCCTCCATGACTGTCTCGAATCCGCCACGCACATTAACCTCGTCATGGAATACTGCGAGCTCGGTGACCTTTCCCTCTTCATCAAGAAACGTGACAAGCTCATCACCCACCCTGCCACCCACGACATGGCCCGCAAGTACCCCAGCACCCCCGATGCTGGCCTGCACGAAGTCGTCATCCGGCATTTCCTCAAGCAGCTGGCGAGTGCCCTGGAGTTCCTACGGAGCAAAAACTACGTCCACCGCGATGTCAAGCCGCAGAACCTGCTGCTGCTGCCCTCGCAGGCATTTAGGGAACAGCGAAACCTCCCCATCATGGAGGCCAGCCAGGACTCGTTGATACCAATGTCCGGCATCGCCTCCCTGCCTATGCTCAAGCTTGCTGATTTCGGCTTCGCCCGTGTATTGCCCGCGACGTCTCTCGCCGACACTCTTTGCGGCTCGCCCCTGTACATGGCCCCGGAGATCCTCCGTTACGAGCGGTACGATGCCAAGGCCGACTTGTGGTCCGTCGGGACTGTCCTGTACGAAATGATATCCGGGAGGCCCCCGTTCCGCGCGCGAAATCATGTGGAACTTCTGAGGAAGATAGAAGCTGCCGAAGACGTCATCAAGTTCCCCAGAGACATCCCCATCACGCCCGAACTGAAAGCCCTAGTAAGAAGCCTACTCAGGAGGAACCCCACGGAGAGGCTGCCGTTTGAGGACTTCTTCTCCCACCCCATCGTCGTCAACGAGATCCCCGGGCTGGTGGAAGACGACGTTCCAAGGCCCGCTAAGCGCGAGCTGAGGACGATCCCCCAAGGAGAGGCTACCGCTCCATCACCACGCGTTGGCTCTCTGCGGAACGGGACGTTTGAAGCCACGCCTGCCAGGTCGTCTCGGGAAGCGCTGCCTCGGTCGTCACCATTGACAGAAAGCCCCAGCGAGGGTCGAAATAGGCCGCCGTCTGGTGAGTATCACCGTCGGCCAAACTCACCCCGGGAGGCTGGAGCTGGCCTAGGCATTCAGCGCCCAACAGTGCCCCATGCCGTATCCATGCCCAACCATCCACGGGTGTCCAAGACGTCCCTTCAAAACACCTCGCCGCCTTCGGCCCTCAGCCAAGACATGCGCAAGGCTCGAGTGCCGAGCGGCAAGGCTCTCACGGACGAAGAGGAAAAGGCCGCCCAAGATGTCATGTTCGAGAGAGACTACGTCGTTGTCGAGAGGAGGCACGTCGAGGTCAACGCGCTGGCAGACGAGCTGGCCGCCAACGAGAAACTGGCATCGCAGAGTCCCACGTCACTGCGGTCGAAGCAGCTGGCTCGGCACTTTTCGCAGCAGGGCGCGCCGACTTCGACCACGGGAGCCGTCGCCGCTCCCACGTCGCGGACGCAGCTTGTGGCGCAGGGTCGAGCTCCCCCAGATCGCCGCTCGTCGTACGAGAAGGCGCTGTCTGCGAGCCCCGGATCGGCTTCGAGCGCCATCACCAAGGCCATCCAAGATGCCAGTCTCCGTCTCTTTGGCGTCAGGGTGCCCATCCGCACCAAAGGACAGTCCCCGCCATCCTACCTGCCATACCCGGCCTATCCGACGCCGCCGACCTCGGCCGGCCTGCTTGGGGACGGGAAGAGCATTGCTTCGGAGGATGAAGACGCCCGCTCCGCGCAGGCCATTGAAGACTTTGCCACCCGGAGCGACTGTGTGTACGGATTCGCCGAGGTCAAGTATAAGCAGCTTGTCCCCATGGCGCCATCCACAGACCACGGGCTGGGCGGCGTTGGGGCTGACCAGATGTCTGTGGACGACGACGGACTGACAGCCGAGGCCGTCGTGGCCCTCTCCGAAGAGGCCCTGGTCCTCTATGTAAAGTCGCTTTCTCTCCTGGCACGGGCCATGGACATTGCCAGCATCTGGTGGTCCAAGAAGAGCAGAGGAGACGTCGCTTCCGGCCTGTCGGCTGTTGTCTCTGAATCCATAGTTCAGCGCATCAACGCCGTGGTCCAATGGGTTCGGCAGCGCTTCAACGAGGTCCTCGAGAAGTCCGAAGTTGTCCGCCTCAAGCTCATTGAAGCCCAAAAGTTGCTCCCAGAGGACCATCCGAGCCACCCGTCGAATCAAGGCATGGAGTCGCACCTGTCCGCCGCAGGATCGGGCATGGACCAGGTCTATCTCACACCAGGCATCACGGCTGAAAAACTCATGTACGATCGGGCCCTTGAGATGAGCCGCGCCGCGGCCATTGATGAGGTGACGAATGAGAACCTGCAGGGCTGTGAGATTTCATACATCACCGCCATTCGCATGCTTGAGGCCGTCTTGGACAGCGGTGACGACGCAGGCCTTGGGAGGACTAAGGAGAGCTGCAGCGACCTGGAGAGCGATGAGGAGGCTCATATTCGGAAGAGTAAGTGTCATCACTCCGATGCGTTTTCTCTTTCACATCAAGCAACAGCTAACATGACTCCAGTGATTTCCATGATCACTAGCCGGCTTTCCATGGTCCGCAAGAAGCAGCATATGATTGCCGAGGCGAACAGCAAGACACAGCCACTGACCCGTCGACGAAGCGGCGATGTCACGCCTCGCAGTCCTCTCTCACAGACGTCAACTTGAGCTCATCACCAAAGGAAAAACTGGTGCCAAACAACATTTGAAGCAAGACTCATCAGTCACGATACGATAAACAACAGGAAACCACTTACAAACACTGGAAGCCTCACGGCTGGACATTGATTTGGACGATCCCAGTACTTTTGCCCGAGGTCCAATAGACCTCTTGATCTCATGATTCTTTTTTTTTCCTTTTTCTTTTTTTCTGGGTTATTGTCTTTTCAAAGGCGTTTAGGGAAGCTGGACAAACAGGCACACAACAGAATCCCCGCTCAGGTAATGGAAGCGGGCGTTTGGGGGTGATTTTCCACATCTCATGGTTTGAAGGTTTAGGGGATCCATGGCCAGGCGTTTGTTTGCTTGACTCGCTTTCACTTTTCCAGCCGGAGCATGGCTGAAGTTTCTTCATTTCGTTTTACGATTATAGTTCATTCACAATCAGTGGACAGCAGCTGCGAGCCAGCGGAGACACCAAGTCGAGAAGGGGCTGAGATGGAGGCTTTCACCCTCTCTACCTACCTCTTCAGTGCTTGTCTCTTTTTCATCATACGGTCTAGTTACCTACGTTGACCTATAGCTCTGTTTTATTCTACTTTATTGTTCTGATTCAGGGATCTATTTGATGTTTTCTTTGGGGGGGTCACGGGTAAGGGCACAAGGGTTCGGATGGAACTACGGAAACCTTTATCTGTTTTCATATGGCCGCTTTTGAGGAGGTCATGGGTAGCGGTGGGATCGGGCATGGGCGAGGACTGGTTCTTGTGCGAGTATCTGTACGAGTTTAGATTGGTGCGTTCAGCGCGTAACCTAGTCCATGGTACCAATACCATTGCTGCCGCTTGAGGAGAGCCGTGTCTGTTCCCGTGTTGAGTGATTTGTGTTTGTACGGTTTGCTTTGTTTGAGCTGCGTTTTGAGAATTGCTCGTGAATGAGATGTCGACGTTTGTATGCGTGTCCTGTGCCGAAACCCATTCACCTTGAACAACGGGAGTCTCCAGAACAGACGCTTTTGCATGCTGAAAAGACGGAGTAATTGTCTTTAGCTGTTCATTTGATTTCTTCAAAAAAAAAAACCCAAAAGATCCGAAGCATGAACGGTGCTTTTATCAGGAACTGATTCTCCAGTCTTCCATCCCAGCAGCAGGCAGCAATCTATCTCACGCCTCATCCATCCCTTAGACAAAGTACCCTCACAATGACACGAAACGGCAACAAGTCCACATCAGCTCTCCTCGTCGCAATAAGCAACGCCTCTGCCGCCCGCCACAAACATTCCCTCTCCTCCTCCTCCCCCCTTCAGAAAGATGTAGAAGAGATCCTTTGCTCTCGAGCATATCGCAAAGAAGAGGAAGACGTCTTCAAACCCGTGCAGCTGTGTGATATTGTCCACGAAGAAGAAGAAGAAGAGAAAGAAGAAGAAGAAGAAGAAGCAGAGATTGAAACACAGGCCAAAAAAGCACAGCTTCATAAAAAGAGTCTTTGGGAATGGCACATGAAGCGATACAAGTCTTCCCTAAAGAACCAACTCTCAAGGGCCCAAGTCGACGACGCAGTTCTCCGTCTCATAGACCACTACCTCCTCCGCTGCACATCCAACACCCCTCCTACATCCTCATCCTCCGAAAACGACCCCCTATCTACCCTAGGCAACAAAATCGACTCCCTATGGAGCGCCAACGAAACACGCATCCGCGCCTCTCTCCCGCGCTACTTCGAAGGCTACCCCGTCCGAGACCGCATCCAGCCCCCGCTCTTCCACCCCCAGAGAAGCCAGAAGCCTTCCGGCCTGGGAGACTGCCTGCAGTGTCTCGCAAAGGGCCTGCCGTGCTCAATGAGCGTGCAGGCGACGGGGAGCGGGGAGGGCGTCTTGCGAGGGGGTTGTAGGAGGTGCGTTGCGGAGGGGGAGCGCTGCATTATTGAGCATGATGAGGTGCTGGAGGAGGAGGAGGATGGCGAGCGAGATGTCAAGGAAAAGGTTGGAAAGAAGAGGGAGGAGAAGAGCGGTTTGTGGGACTGGTGGGATGGAGTGCCGGATAGGGATCGGGATGTCGATTCGGTGGCGGAGGCGATTGAGTTGTGGGAGAGGCGGCGAAAGGGCATCAGGCTCGAGTTGATAGGGAGCCGTATGCTCTGGGTTGAATCCAGGGGCTTTGCGCCACGAGGAATAAATCAAGATGAGTGACTGACAGGTGAAGGTTAATTGCAGGTTCACCCTTGCTCTCAAGATACGCAACATGCCCTTGTATGATTCTCATGGAGAGTGTCCATTGATTTGCCATGTGTCATTTTAAAGAGAAAACTTCCTGTATATTTGCGGGCACCTAGAGACAAGCGTGATTCGAACGCGTGTAAGCGGAGCAAGTCCTTGCCAAGGAATTTCATCAGCTTAGGGACTTGCTTGTGCCAAACAGAGAGGGACCTAATATCGACTGGCCATCTGTCAACCTGTTTCCATGATTCATCCCTTGTCATCCATCAGATACGAGAGCACCAGGTGCCGTACCTTGCCTCCAAATAACATCAGACCTCCTCAGCCATATTTGCTCTGATGTTCTGCGACTAGAGAAACCCGACATCTGAAATCATTCCTCGAAAAAACGTTACACTCATACATATCACTCACATCTCGCAAGGTTCACACCTGCGTCGGGGCATTGCCAGCTTTTGTCTTCTTAGACGTCACGGCTTCCCTTAGCTTCAGGGTCTTCACTTTCCACAATCGCCTGCATGGTATCGGTCAGAAACTTGGCATTCAGCCGCTTCAGTTCCGCCAGCACTTCTTCTCTGCGACGCTCGTTGCGTACCTGCTTCAAGTGCCTGTTGAGGTTGGGAAGAGGAAGCTGGAGCACGTCACAAATTCGTAGCTGGCGAGAAGTCAGGATCCGGATTTCTGATTTGCGATTCTCATCTTTACCATCAGGCTGCGGCGTCACAAAGCCCTGTTTCGCATTGTGGTTGACATCTGGGGTTTCCGTTGTCAGTTGAAGCTTGGGGGTCAGCGGACCAGATCCGGGGGGTGAAGACAGTCCTGGCAGTGATTCCAATTTGGCCGCTTGGCCGCTCTCCTGAGCATTTCGAAAGTGTCCCGATGTCTCAACGCAGGGTAGTGAGCTCCGTCTAATAGACCCAAGGCTACTACCACTGGAAGTAGTAGCAGAAGCTTTGGCAGGTGTTGCAGCGGGTGAGAGGGGCTGAAGACTGGCCAAGTCCCAGGGCATCGGCTTGAGGTGAGTATCATCATCAGTCAGCTCTGTTTGACATCGTCTATCAAGCCTCTGGAAGAACTCGACGTGTTTCTGCGGGGTGCAAAACCAATCGTGGCGCTCTGCCTCTGCAGCAGTCATCCTGTTCATCGGGGCCAGTTGGAGACATCCCAAGACGAAGTTCTGGCCCTCTGGGGAGCGCTTTGGCGAAACCTCTACAAGCATTGTCTTGACCATCTTCTCAACGGAGACTTGATTCTTGCGAGCCAGGCTTCCAAAGCAATCCACGTCAAAGGTAAGCATTCGCAGTGTGATGAGGCCAAGGGACCACATATCAAGCGCAGGCGTTTGAGCCTCCGCGGCCGAAAAGAAGACCTCCCTGAGATGATTTACGCATTAGCCAAACTTTCGCTTTCTCTAGCAATGAAGGTACGCGGGACTTACGGAGCCTTGTACTCAAATGTGCCAATATCGGTCATCATTCGGCTGCGGCGAGGAACGGCGCAAGCTCCAAAGTCTGACAGCATGATTCGATGGTAGGCTATCTTGGGCGAGTATGCCAGCAGGATGTTCTCCGGCTTCAAGTCCCTGTGGATGATGCCTTTCTTGTGAAGATAAGCGAGGCCGCGGACAACCTGTCGAAGTAGAACTCTGCAATCAATCTCTGGAATGTACTCATGGCGGTTGATGAAGGAGACAAGATCACCACCCGCGGCAAGCTCTGTGAAAATGTACCTGAGGCGTCAATTAGTATTCTGTCGTTGGCAGTTCAGTCGGTGCGCGAGGTCCTACTCACAGAGAGTGGGGAGAAACAACGGCGTCAACGTAGGGCAGGATGTTGGGCTAGCAAAAGTTAGCATCATGCGGTCGTCGGTCTGTATCAAGCGCACTCACGTGTCTGAGCTGTCGGAGGACATCAATCTCCTGTAGCTTTCGGTAAACCTCTTCTCGCGGCATCTTTCCATCCTGCTTGGCCAGATTGACGACCTTACAGACCAGCTGCCGCTTGGTCTCGGCTTCGATGGCCAAGTAGACGGCTCCCTCTGCACCGCTGCCGAGGCATCGTGGGGTAATGAGATACTCATCTTGGAAAGTCTGTACTTGTCAGATGGGGGGCACCTTGATGGTCATCGTGTGGGGGGGACAAACCTGGCATTCTTCTGTCTGGATGGCCGTCAGCGGCCTGGTAGGCGGCTTTCGAGGTTGGCGGAAGAGAAACTTCCAGTGAGGTTGAATCTCAATGACATCGCCGTCTTCCAAGAGATACCCAGACGAGATCTCTGGACCGATGCCAATGAGCTGGCCGTTGACAAACGTTCCGTTGACGGACTTGCGGTCCCTGACGTAGACGTGGTTGACGGATGGTTCATAGACAATCACGTAGAATTCACAGTGATTTCGTGAAGCAAAGTTTTCTGCATCATTCTGGAGACAGAGAGCGCTGCAAAGTATCAGTCATGGCCTTCAGACATGAAGTCTCGAGTCGCTCGCATACTTGGCAACTGGATCTCGTCCAATCCTGAAGATTTCCTGCTCCTAGATGGGAAGATCTTCGATAGGCTGATCACTGATGCGTCTGTCAACGAAGCGGACATACGCGGCGGGCATTTCAAAGTCCTCGTCATCACGCTGATCTGCAGTGGCTGGTACGATCTCCATGGTGGTGATCCGATTGGCGAGTGTCAAGGTGAAGATGATTAAAGGCGATATCAGGGTCAAGGCGAAGGTGAGAATCCAAGGCGAAGGTGAGAATCAAGGGCAAAGGTGAAGTACAAGGTTCAGATATAGCGCAGGGACGAGAAGCCGGTCAAGCGACCAGAGAGACTTGACGAGTGCACCTTGGAAGAGGAAGAAGTTTCAGAAATTCGCGAGATTGGCTTTCCTGTTCTTTGCTCAGTGGTGTTGCTACCCTGGACACTCCTAGGCAGGACCAACTCACAATGCCCCCATCTCGCTCCTGCCTTCTTTCTTCAACTTTCACGGCGAGGTTCACAGTGCGATCACAGTGTTGCACATCAAATAGCACGGTATGAGCGCAGATTACATAAGTGAGCTCGAGCAAGCACGGACCCCAGTTACGCCACGTGATGCGCGGGGGGTTTGTGCCCTACAGCAGCCTTGTCAAAGTGCTTGAAATTCCCCCGCCCTCTCGAAAGTTCCTTTCTTGTACCTCATCCTAACAACGTTTCTCGTCAAAGAACAAGTAAGAGCTCCCGCCCTGCGACGCATTGCATGGCCAATCTGCAGCATTGGAGTGCATGGGAATCGGCCCAATGCGATCCATGCCGCGGATTGCCACTGGCGCTGTCGCGCGAGTGACCTGCGAACGATCTCGCTAACCAGCTTGCAGACACATCGTTCAAGATGAGAGCCAAATGGAGGAAGAAGCGTGTTCGTCGCCTTAAGCGCAAGAGAAGAAAGATGAGGGCTCGCTCGTAAGTGTCATCCGACCTGCCTTTGTCGTCGCTGGAAGCTCCGTGCTAACTTGCCAACCAGCAAATAAACGACTCGCTCTTCTACCTGACTTGACGCATCTTTCACATTTCCAATGAGTTCACGATGATACGACAAGCTTAGCTGCTGCACCAGCACGGATACCTCTCCGTGACGATTGCGACCATTCAATTGGAATCAGCATACCGGTGCGCATCGGCAATTCCAGCTATGGGAGTCTTGGACGAACGCGAAAGATGGGAACTGGACAACTTCAGTCGGGCAAAGACATCGTTTAAAGGATGTAAAGCCATGGAGGAACAGCTGCAACATGAGGCACGCGGAGGAACCAGATACGCTGCTTGACAAGCTATAAAATGCAGAATCTACTTCATTTCCAACTTACTCCAAAAGCACCCATGTGACGTTCTATTTTGCCGTGACTATCGTCGCAATAAAGCTGCTGTCGAGCTGGCATCCTTATTATGATGCTCGTGTGACCCGATTGACATATTTCACCCGTTTGTGGGCGAGCTTGCGTTTACCGATGGAGCTCCTGCAGCTCTCTTCTCCCTGCTGCCATCGTGACGTAACTCGCTGCGAACTGGCAATGTGGGGTTGGTGTTCCACGTCTCACCGCCCGCTCGGAGAAACCCCGGCTGCTGATTTCCTGCCGCCCGATAACCAAATTTTTTTGGAGCAGAGATATCCCACTTTAGCATCAATTCCAGGCCCAGATCAGAGAGAGAGAGACGCCCCAGACGACAAAAGGCAGAAACGATGTCGGACCTCAGCAACAAGAAGCGGAAGCGCGATGGCGAGAAGAACCCTTCGTCGAAGAAAAAGGTGGCCATTGACGCGCCGGCCTCGACTGCCACCGTCTCCTCCGTCCTGCGGCCCAAATACTGCCCTCCTGTAGTTGGTATGCAGCATCTTCGCTGAAGTCGACCACTTCTCGCGCCTCTACTGACGGCGCATACAGTAAACACGCCCGGGATGGAAATGCCCTCAGACTTGGTGTTCAACTCATATCTGCCCAAGAATGCGTCATCAAAATCCAAGAAGACCGCCGACAAGAGGCTTCTTCTTCACTCCACAAGCCATCGAAGCCTAGACTACACAGCGCGAGAAGAAGAAGAGGCGCGCGACTCGAAGCCACTCCTCAACCACTTCATTGGCATCTACGATCCCAAGACGGGCAAGATGGAAGTCGTCGAGGCGAAGAAGATGGTTGTGCGCGGCACCGTTCGTTCCAAGCAGGTCCCGACTTCTACATCTCAGCAGCAGGAGAAGAAGGTAGGCTTTTTTTTTTTGGGGGGGGTTCTCGATGCGAACTCCCTCCACAGACAAACAGACAGGCAGGATGGATGGAAGGCGGCTAACAAACAACAGACGATGCTCGACCAGAGAACAGATCTCGGCCAGACGTTTGGAACGAAAAAGGCCAAGAAGGCGATCCAGGACAAGGTGCTCAACGCCATCACCCCCCAGAGAAAGACTGCCGACGGCAGGCCAGTGCAGCTGGACGACGCCTCCAAGGCCACGCTCAGCTCGATCGGCGCCGTCACGTCCACAATGGCCTCCCGAGAAGAGCTGCAGGCAGTCATCGACGAGGCCAAGCCGGTGCCCAAGGCGAACCTCGACGCGGACGAAATCTACGACGTGTACCGCCCCGAGGAGCTCATCGGAGCCGACATCCTCAACCTCGTCCCCATCCGCGAGTGGCAGGAGAAGGCCAAGCACGGCGAGAGCATCCAGTTCCGCTCCCGCTACGTCGTGTCGCGCGTGCAGGCCATTGCCTCGAACGAGTCCGCCGAGATGCGCCTGCGCGTGCTAAGATACCTCTCCATCGTCCTGCTCTTCTACCTCTACTCCAAGCCCGGCCGCCAGAGGGGCACGCGCCAGGTGCCCCCGCGGGACAAGCTGCGCGAGCTGCTGGCCCCGGCGCCCGAGGCCGTCATCGAGAACATCCGGCGCAAGTTCTCCGACGCCGGCCAGCTGCGCAAGTTCCACATCGACCTGCTCATCGCGCACTGCTGCGCGCTCGCCTGCATCGTCGACAACTTCGAGGTCGACACGCAGGCCCTGCGGGACGACCTGCGGATAGACCAGCGGATGATGAATCAGTACTTCCACGAGATTGGCGCGAGGGTCAAGCCCGTCAAGGACAAGGCGGAGGACCGGATCCTGCACGTGGCGAAGCTCGCTCTGCCGCTGGATTTCCCGAAACAGCGACAGATCAGGGCGCGTCGATAAGAGGGGAAGAGGGTATGGTTCAATGGGGGATGAGGTGGTTTAAAATGTAATGAGATTGTGAGGTGATGATATGAGAAGGGGGGGGCGTGGGAAGAGCCACCACGATGCTTTACACAAAGCGGGCGGCATTCATTGCAAAGGCGATGCCTTACTTACGGAGTAGTACTTTTTGTCATTCACCTTCTTGTCAGTGTATAGAGGCATCCATTCAAATATATCGCTTAGCATTCTGCTTTCCTACAAAGGGCCTCTTTCCTACACCTCTCACACACGTCTCTTTACTTGATTTGACAAGGATGAGGTTTGACAAGCTCTTGACGGAACTCCAACCGCTGCCCCGCAGAGTACCGACACCCCGTAGCCGCAGACCTCGGTATCTGGGGTAAGACATGCATCTCACATCACCACCAACACCAAACCGTCTCACTCATATTTATATCATCCAGCAAGCGCGCATGCTTCTCATCCCCCCTGTTCTTCTTTCATTGCCCCCTATCACACAATCATATTCATCCAGAGGATTTCAAACTCACACGAGCCCCCTCATCTGATTCAAGCGCCTTTGTGGTGAAATACAACAATCAAAAAGCATGTCGTCCAGCGTCATCTCCATCGACTACCGCGGCCGCGTCGCCGTCATCACCATTGCCAACGAAAAGAAGCTCAATGCGCTTACGCAAGAGCAGTACTATGAGCTCTCGCAGGCCCTGAGGGAGGTCGCCAAGCATGACGAGGTGTTTGTCACGGTGATTCTGGGCAAGGGCCGCTACTTTTCTGCGTGAGTTCGACTTTTTCTCTATATATCCGGGTTCAAATTCCACTCGGGATGCCCGTTTCTATGAGCTTCATGCTCACCGCCTCATTTATGATGATCCTTTATCCAAAAATACCAGAGCATGAATCCAACCCTCATCGTGAACTGACAATTTCTTTTTCGAAAACAGCGGCGCAGACGTCTCCATCGGCCGCACCACCCCAAAGGACCCCAACGAAGCCCGCAAGCAATGGCTCCAGACCTTTGTCGCCTTCAATCTCAACATCACCGAGTCCTTCGCCTCCCACCCAAAGATCCTCGTCGTCGGCCTCAACGGCCCCGTCGTAGGCCTCACCGCCGCGCTCGTCGCCCACGCAGACTTCATCTACGCGGCGCCCCACACGTTCCTCCTCACGCCCTTTTCCTCGCTCGGGCTCGTCGCCGAGGGGGGCTCTTCGCGGGCGCTGGTCACGAGGCTGGGGCTCGCGCGGGCGAATGAGGCCTTGATCATGAGCAAGAGGATCACGAGCGCCGAGCTGGAGAGGTGCGGGTTCGTGAATCGCGTCTTTGAGGGAGTGGAGCAGGGGGAGGATGACAAGTTCAAGGGGTTGGTGTTGAAAGAGGTGGATGAGAGGCTGGGGGACCATCTTGTCGGCGATAGCTTGCTGGGCATCAAGAAGCTGATTAGGGGGCCGGAGCAGACCGTTGTGAACCTGAGCAATTTCAACGAAGTCTTTGCTGGCCTGGCGAGATTTCAGACGGGCGTCCCGCAGGAAGAGTTTAGAAAGGTTGCCAGCGGCGAGAAGAGGCACAAGTTGTAGGCGTGAACAATAGTGATACGTTTGGATGGTAATTTGTATATACATATAATCGGCCCCCGTAGACCGCCATTGAAAGTGACTAATGGCAGCGTCGTCATGCCAGCAATCCAAACAGCAGACTCGTCCGGCTCCAGAAGTTCTTTGCCGCCTTGCCGACGTGTTGCCGTGAGGATTCGTCCAGGCCGCTGCGTCCATACACCGCATCTTCCAGCTGTTGGAATTCTCCTGCCTCCTCTCCCGCCTCAGTTCCGACGGAGAGGCGAAGCAGGGAAATGTCGAACAGCCACTGGATGCAGAGATCCCGCAGCTGCTCGTTGCCTGGCGTTGTGCCATCCTCTTCTTTCCCAGCGTCCTTGTCTTCCTCGCTCTCCTTGTCTTTCTCCTTGTCTCCCATCTCCGCGTTTCCTTCTCCGTCACCCCCTTGGCCATCAGACTCTGGTGCCGGCTGCTTCTCAGCATCGCCTTGTGATTCTTCCCCTTGCTCGCCACTGACCTCAGCCTCTTGTGCTTCCTTCTCCGTCTCTTCTTTCTGCTCACTGATCTTGGCATGTTCCTTCACTTCGTTTACCGCTTCATCAAACTTGATGGTCTGGAGTTCTTGGTTCCATGCCTCACACAATCGCCGGCTGACATGCTTCTTCAAAGCGGCCATCGCAGCTGCAGTCCACAAATCAACTCCCGCATCCGATAACGAGAGCAGCAAGCTGTGTAGAAATTGGAACGTCTCTGGCGATGGCTGATTCGGCAATGCTGGGTCCCCATCCCACAGGGGCCTACCAACGGCTATCCTCCTAGACAATCCATTGGACACGAATTCATCGACTGGCGGCTCCGATACCGATACAACGATCGCCTGGTGAAGCGCTGGGACCATGCTCAGCCCGAAATTCTTGATGGATTCGCGCTGCGGCAGTTGGCGCCGAATATCTCTCAGGACACGCATCAGATACATGGCGACGGCACTGCTGCTGCCAGTCTCAGATTTGCCGTCCCATAACTGCTGCAGCTCCTTTTCAAGGGCTTCAAAGGAGGCATCGAGACTAGTATCCAATTTCTGCTGCAGCATCTTTGGATCGTCTTTGCTCAGCTGCCGTTGTCTCGCCTCGAGTGTTTCTTCGTCTTCGATTTCGTCAAAGTCGTTGTCCCACCGCTGCTTCTCCAACTGCCGAACCACCTCCTTGACGTCGTCAATGATGTGGAACCAGGAATAGTAGCAATTGAGGGCCTTTGACACGGCATCGCTGCGGCCGTAGAAGCGTGAGGCGACTTCTTGCAGGAACGGGCGAGCTCCGCTCGACAGGGCATCTTCGTAGCCTTCTTCGTCCCACAAGCCCGGCAGCTTCCCAGTCACGCCGTCCTTCCAGCTTTCCAGCGTCGCCTTGACTTCGGAGCCCACAATGTGAAGCTTGGTGACCTTGGAATCGAGAACGGCAAGCATTTGCGCATTGATGGCGTTCCTCAGATGAGTCTGCATCTCCTCCGGATCGATCCCCCGGACCTTGCTGCCCTGGCGTATCCATAGCTGAAGAAGGCTTGTCCGCAGCTCCGTTATCGACTTGAAATCGTGCATTGGCTCCAATATCTTCTTCAGCCCCCGCAGCAGCACTTCTTGGCCCTTTTCAGACCAGCTATCAAACATTTCCCTTGCCTGTGTCCCACTCAGGTCATCATGGCGAATGAAGGGCGTAAAGTATTGAATATCTTCGCCACACCACCTCTCCAATATGTCAAGCCGCAGCCCCTCTAGCTTCTTTAGCGAGGCATCCTCCAAGAGCGGCTTCTTAGTCAGGGCATGGAGTGCCTGCGAGAGCTTGTTCGGCACCAAGGCCTGTACGTCCAGTAGAGTCCGGGCATAGAGCTCAAGGGCTCGGATGACATCGTCCGCGCTTCCCACCCGTTCGTCTTCCTCGGGGTTCAGGGCAACCGCGACGGCTTTGGACCTCACTTCCAGAAAGTGCCGCAGCGTGTCCTTGGCTCCAGAGCTGTTTGCAAGGCTATGCGCAGCGAGAGCCTTCAAAACGTCATCCCTGTTCGAATCGGTACCGATCTTCTCCAGAGTCTTCTCCAGCGTCCTCTTGAGCCGGCGGCGCAAGCTATCGAGCTTCTTCCTGGCAGCATCAACAGCCTGCCGCGCGTCGTCGTTGAGCGCCTCCTTGCCCAAGCTATTGACTAGCAGGCGGCTCAAGACCAACACCTTGGCCGCCACCACCAATCTGTCGCCCGTACTGAAGCTCTCGTCCAGCTCTCCCCGACCTCTCAACAGCCTCCCAACAAGCAGCAGACAACCGTCCAGCAGCCTCTGTCTCGCTGCCTCGGCAACCTCTGCCTTCTGCTCCTTTTCCACGAAGTTTGCCAGCGCAGCCACTTTCGTCGACACCACCGCTCTGCCGCACTGCCAGCCCATGCTGCGCAGAAGCTCCTGCACCGAACCGATGTCTTCGTGCATCTGCACAATGGTGTCGGCCGTGCCGAGCAGGTCACGGTATGAGCCGCCTACGCGCGTCCGCAGGCGGCTCGCCTTGTCCTCGATCTCGACATGGAGGGCCTTGTGGATGGAGCGGATCTGGGGGAGGGTGTGGTTCGCGGAGAAGATCTGGTCCGAGGTGGTGAACTTGCTGACGTCGGGGGTAGCCATTGCGGATGCTGCAGCGGGTTGGCTGCGAGGATGAGAGATTCGATTCGGATGTTATGGTATCGTCGACATTGGAGGGTTGGGCCCTGCAATTGGAAGGGTTACGTAGGTAGATGTGATGGGAGGTGGCTTCGTAGCTTGTAGATGGCAGATGCGACGTTGAAAGGTAGCCAGATTGATATTGCCTTGTTGGTTTGGGTGGGGCACAAGTGACAGCTTTTGTTTGAGCTTCCAACCCAAAAGCGTCTCCTTACCCTGGACAGCAAGCAATAGAGTCGTGGTCACACACAGGAAATGCATACGCGCATGTCAATGGCATAAAGGCATTGGGGGAAGAAGCATACTTATATATTGTGATGAAGATACTTGGAGCCATAATGGCTCATACAATGGTGTGCAGCCGGTCGACATCACTAATAGACTGTGATGAATTCCAAGTCGAATCAGAGAAAACCCCACGAGGCATGCATATATTAATCGCAAAAAGTACTCTACAGCTTGATACTCTTGATGACGGTGGCATTGATACCGCTCGTCTCGCCCTGGTAGCCTCCCTTGGGCTCGCCGCCCTGCCAAACTGGCTTGATGCTCTTGAGCTTCTTCTGCTTGGCCTCGAACTGCTTTCTCCTCTTGACTCTCGGGTTTCGCACGTCCTTGCTTCTCCTGGGCGCCAGGCCCTTGTTCTTCTGGATGGCATACGTGATCTTGCGCTTGCCATCCTCGCCAATCTCCTCGGTCGGCACCACTCTGTCGGCCTTGCTGGCGGCGGCATAGGCTGCGAATCGGGCTGCCTTGTCTTCCTTCTTGGCCTTGGCGCCGTGCGCCACCATGTCGTAGTACTCGTCCTCGTCGTCGCGCATGGCGTTGGCAGCCTTGGAGTCTTCCTCGTCGCTGTCATCGCCCAGGTTCGCGCCGAGCTTGGAATCCCTCTTGCCTCGCTTCTCGGCCTCAGCCAGGAGTCGGGCCTGACGGTCTCGGAGACGCTCGCGGTGAGGAATATCCATGTCACCACCTGCGTCGCGACCAGCACCGGCACGGCGGTTGGCTTTTTGCACGATCTGGGATGTGTAAAACTTCAAGCTCTTCTTGCGCGCCGCCTTGTCAGCCGCAGCTCGGGCGTCCAAGGTCTCCTCCTCGCCGAAGTCTGAGCTGTCGTCATCCTGGGAGCGCAGCGTCTTGTCCTTGCTCTTTGCCTTGGACTTGGTGTTGATGGGCAAGTCGTATAGATCAGCAACAGTCTCCTCAATCGCCTTGGCCTTTGCCAGCTTCTTGGCCTTGCTTGCTGAGGAGGCCGCGCTCTCCTTGGCTTTCTTGGCCTTCTTGGCCTTGGTCTGTGCTGCCAATGCTTCCGTCTCCAGCTGAGCAATAGCATCAAGGCCTTGCAACAATGAAGCGTCGCTAGGAGTGGTTGTTGATCTCATGTCCTTGACTCGCTCCCAGGCTTCGCGGCATTGGACCAAGGTCTCCATCACATCGTGTTCACGGAGCTCGGTGGGATCGATTGTTTTCCGCGCTTTGGCGGCGTCGCGAGCCGGAGATGTAAGTATGGCCAAGTAGCTGGCCAGCGAGGCAACGTAGCAGCCGAGCACCCAGTACTTGATCGCAGCCAGAGACTTGACGTCTGAAGCCTTGGCCTCTGTCCTGAATATTTCTAGTTGGGGCTGGAGATCCTGGAAATCCTTGACAAGATAATCAAACTCGGGGTATCGGGCAGACAATAGCTTCAGTCGCTCCTCGGGGCCCATGTCATCGGTAATCTCGACCTCCTTGAGGACTTCCGTGACGGGTTCCGCGGTCTCTTCCGCTTCCTGCTCGCCCGTGAGCCACTCGTCTCCGTCAAAGATAAAGTCCTCCTCCGCCATCTTGGACAGCTTCTTTTGTTGTAATCGCTTCGCCTCGGTTTCTTCCTCCAGCGCATCGGCCTCGGTTTCGATGTTGTCGGCATTGTAGTATTCCTTCTTGGATGAACCCCACCAATTTGAGTCTTCGTCCTCTGCTCCCTCGGCCTTGTCTTCCTCGTCGTCTGAAAAGTCGGCGGCCTTTCGTTTTGACTTGCTCTGCTTGGGCTTTGCGCCGGAATCTGACTCGTAGCCCAGCACTTCCTCGTCCGAGAATTCAATCTCTTCCTCGCCCTTTCTCGGGCGCTTCCTGTTGGGCTCGTCGTCGAGCATGATTGTGTCGCGGTTCATGAAGAACTCGTCTTCGGAGTTGGCCACGTCTTCGTAGGAGGTGACTTTGAGGCGAGCGTCTGCCGGGTCCAGCTCTTTGGGTCCGCTGGACTCGGCAGCGCGGGACGCCTTTCTCTTCTTTGCCATGATGATGGACTGTGTATTTTTGTGCTTGGGAATAGTGGGACGGCTCAATCCGAGTGCCTTGCTGCAGGAATTGTAGAGCAGCAATTTGTTTGCTGGTGGTGACGGATGTCTAGTATGCCTCTACTCTACGACCGCTGGAACTTTTAGACAGGCTCTGAAAATTTCCTGGCTGATAAGATAAGACTCTTGTAAGTTCCTGGCGCTAAACTGTTTGCTCCGTATCCGCCGGAAATACGTGCTGCCGCCACCTACAGCTGCTAGCCCGCCATTGCGCGTGTAAGTCTTGCGGTTAGCCTGAAGGTTAAGGTAATACAAGAACACCGGTGACTGTCTCTTTTACTGGAATTAGGAAGATGCCGATGAAACCAAATAATTAGTGCTCTACCTCATCCAGTTGCATGCTTGTCTGCAATAGCCTGCACTTTCCACCAACATGGGCCTCTTCTCTGCCTGTCGTGTATCATGTACTCCGCTGCACCTGTCTGCTTAGGTCAGCCAGCATCAGCTTCACACCCCCACCCAACAATCAATGGCTGGCTGCCGCCTCTACTCGTATGCTTAACTGCGCCCGTGGCGTCCTCTTGTGACAGGCACTAGGCTGGTCTCTTGATCTTGCGCCGCTGACCTCGACGCCTCCTACGGTCCACGGGTAGTAATTGCTCTCCCTCGCATCCCTTTCCTCCGCATCCAAAGGCATCCAACACCGAATATCCGGGAAACTGTAAGGTACCTTAGGTATCTTCTGGTCTGGGTTACATGTAGGCACAGCTACAGGCTCCGTACCACTGCAGTTGCTAGCACAATGTCTCCAGCGCCTTTTGGGCCAGACCGGTAGTAGTACCTATTATCACTTGTACTTGTGCTGCACCACGGCTGCAAGGCTGCTCTTCAGCAATGCATGTCGGATGATGAAATGCCAAGGCCCACCCACATGAACGAGGCCGAATTCCAGACCGGACAATGACGCAGTCCAGGAGCTCTGCCGAGTCACAAGCCGCTCTGTTTCTCCATTACCGACGCCATCGAGATGCTGCGACCATATAAGACCTCGCTACGGCGTGTCACCTCGGTCTACATGCCAGATAGCGGCATTGTAGCACGGAGTCGAGAATCTGGCGGCACAAATGCTCCGTTCCTGTTCACCACCATTTCCGGGTACCTACCTACTACCTGTAAGTACCTAGTACAGGCATCCAACACCTCGTCTGATGCGATATCCCTCTGCCGTCAAATGCGCACTGAACCCCAAACGCACGGCATCGCCTGGGCCAGTCGGAGCCCATGGCTGCCCGAGCCTCAACCGTCCAGACAAAGGACTGGGGAATCAGTTCACCTGACGGCGCTGTTTGCGGCAAACGGTTAAAGATGGCAGGGTTGGGTGCCCATCAGCCTCCCCACGAGCGCCGTCATAGGGGACCAGCACCGCTCGGCTGGGCCAATTGGCGGCGCCTGTTGCTGGTCAGACATGCCATCGTAGAAGCTAGCGGTAGCTCCTGGCGACCCCGGAGCTGGGACTAGTTACTACTAGTAGGCCAAATTGCAGGATAGGCGACGCACGCCCCAGGACGTGCAGATTGAAGCGTGGCTTGATAGGTACCTAGGTATGTACTTAATGGCTGCCCTGGCTTGCCTGGTGCTGCTGAGGTTATGTATGTACTTGTACCTACTTTGGACGGTCAGCCTTGTCCGGCTTGTGATGCGCAATTGTCTGGATGCTTCTTTCCATTTCTTCTTCCTTTCATTATCATATCGCATCATCATTCTTGCGTGCTTCTTCTCGCCGTCCCCCCCCCCCAGTGAGCTCCAGAGCACCCTCACCCTTGACGACAGTCAGCTTCGCTATTTGCGCCTCTCATTCTCCTCTCTTCTCCTCTCTTCCCTCCACCCCCTTTGCCAAGGAGACCCCCCCCCAGGTAAGTGCTCCGTAGCTGGTACACCATCTCCATCGCCGGGCCAGCACCTGATGACCAACCTGAGCACCTTTGTGGTGCCTGCTGGAGGTGTCATTGCTGCGGTTCCCTGGTACCTGTACCACTGTCGCTAACCGCTGCACCACCTGTTGCTGATAAAGTCGTGACTCGTACCTTGATAGCACACGCCCCCCCCCATCGAGGCTTTACCGCATCCATGATCCCGTTATAACACCGAGGACCATCATCAACACCATCATCGTTTCTCATTCTCTTCTTCTCCGCTTCATCGACTCTCACCCCATCCGCAACGAGCCACCGCCATGGCGGACCGCGACGGCTACGGGTCGGCGTCTCAGCCAACGTCTCCCCGTCTATCTCGCCGTCCGTTTCCCATCCGTCGCCAACACTCGGCAAATGAGCCAGACGAGCGCTCCCCCCTGCTGCTCAACACCTCTCGATCGCACGTCCGAATACAGAGCGGGGCGGCCTCACCGCGGCGTGCCAACCTGTCTCGCGAACAGAGCTACTCGGGTATGGAACAATGAATCGAATGGCAGTTACACAGATACACCCTTTGCGTGCTGCTTGGCGTCCAGAGAGATCCCCGTGTAATCGCCGCCAGTTGTCACTATCATATCGGCTAACAAAGTCCCGTGGGCTCGCAGACAGCAGCAGAGGCACTCGACATCACAGCCGCCGCTCCTCCTGGGGCCAGCGCCTCGCCAATGCCTTCTCCGAACGGTCCATGTCAGAGTCCAAGGGCTCCATCTTCCCAGACGAGCGGGTGTGGTACGATCAATTTACAAGCACCGACTGGGTGCACGATACAATTGCCGATTCCTACCGCGCCAGGGCGCTCCGCAGCAGAAAGGACTTTGGTGGCCGAATCTTGGCCCTTATTGATGGCAGCCAGGGCTGGATACTCAGTGCCCTCTGCGGCTTTGTCATTGCCTTGATTGCATACACCGTCGACGTAGCCGAGTCTGTCGTGTTCGACTTCAAGGACGGCTATTGCGCAAGAGCGTGGTACTTTGACGAAAAGGTGGGTGCCACCGCATGATTCAGGACGAGGGATATGAGTGACGTATAGGGGTTCACTAACATCGTGCTCTAGAGATGTTGTCCTGGTGGACGCGCCGAGTGCACCGACTGGAAGACATGGTCCGAGGCACTGCACTACCATCCCTTTGGCGAGAAGTGGACCGACTTCCTGATCTACGTCGTCTGCGTCATCTTCTTCGCCCTCGCCTCGTGCTGGGTTGCCCTCTGGACCAAGACGGTGGTTCCATCGGCATACCGCCTGACCACGCTCGACGAGAACCTTGCCGCCGAGGCTCCTCAGGCGGCCGATGAGAGCCCTGGCGACGACAGTGCTAGCCCCCGACAGGTGGCCGAGACGAAGCCGGTTGACCCGCCCATGGTCTACTACTCGGCAGCGGGAAGTGGTGTCGCCGAGGTGCGAGTCATCCTCAGCGGCTTCGTCCTCCACGGATTCCTCGGCCTGAGGACGTTAATCTTCAAGATGCTTTCGCTGATTCTGAGCGTCTCTTCGGGACTGAGCATCGGCAAGGAGGGCCCGTTTGTCCACATGGCGACCTGCGTGGGCAACATTGCGTGCCGTCTCTTCTCAAAGTACGACCGCAACGATGCCAAGAGACGAGAGGTCCTCTCTGCTGCGGCCGCGGCCGGCGTGGCAGTCGCCTTTGGAGCGCCCCTGGGAGGCGTCTTGTTTGGGCTGGAGGAGGTGTCCTACTTCTTCCCGGCCAAGACGCTGTTCCGCACGTTCTTCGCCTGCATCATCGCTGCGCTGTCGCTCAAGTTTTTGAACCCATACGGCACGCACAAGATTGTCATGTTTGAGGTCCGATATATGGTCGACTGGGAGTATTTCGAGCTGGGCTCCTTCATCTTTGTAGGCATCCTTGGTGGCGCCATGGGGGCCCTGTTCATCAAGGCGTCGAAGCATTGGGCCCAAAGCTTTCGCCGGATCAAGGTCATCAAGGCATATCCCATGCTGGAGGTGTTCCTTGTCGCCGTCGTGACGGGCCTGTTGAGCTACTGGAACCCCCTGACTAAGGTTTCCGTTGCGAAGCTGCTCCTCAACCTGGCGTCTCCGTGTGACCGCACTAAGGGCGATGGACTGGGGCTCTGCCCGAGGTCGGTCGACGACATTCCCAAGATTCTGTCGACATTAATTATTGCCTTTTTGATCAAGGGCTTCTTGACCGTCATTGCCTTTGGAATCGTACGTCCCACGCTGATAATTATCGTGGCTGCTCATGAAAGCAACATGCTAACTCGTTCAATAGAAAGTCCCCGCCGGTATCTACATCCCATCCATGGTTGTCGGCGGCTTGATGGGACGGATTGTGGGCCACCTGGCACAATGGCTGGTGCTTGTGACACCCGACTGGGGAATCTGGGGCGGTTGTGCAACCGCATCCGACGGGACGTGCATCCAGCCTGGCGTCTATGGCTTGATCGCTGCCGGCGCGACCATGTGCGGTGTCACGCGGCTGTCTGTGACGCTGGCCGTCATCCTGTTTGAGCTCACGGGCAGCCTGGACTATGTGCTGCCATTTTCCTTGTCCATCCTCGTGGCCAAATGGACGGCGGATGCCATTGAGCCACTAAGCATCTATGTGAGTTGAAGTCGCAGAATCTTTTGAGGGAAAGCAGCCGTGACTGACTCACGTTTCAGGACCTCCTCACGAACATGAATGCCTATCCATTCTTGGACAACAAGCACAAGCCCATCTTCACGGGCGACCTGACGGAACTGGTGCGCCGCTTGCGCAGGGAGAGGATCATTGACATTACGAATTCGCCAATGGTTCCCGCTTCGAGCCTGCGCACGAAGCTCGAGATCCTTCACCGCCATGGTGAGCTCGATGGCGGCTTGCCGATCCTGCGAGACGACGTTCTTGTGGGACTTATTCCTGCTCCGGACCTTCAGTTTGCGCTGGATCAGCTTCCAGACGAGGGCTCGAACCTCTGCTTGATGGACCAAATCCCTAGCATTGACGACGACGACGGCAGCCAGCCAGACCCTACGGACTTTACCCAATTCATCGATCCGGTACGTATTGAGGGACGATGGGAGCTGAGAAAGCGTATGTGAAAGCTAACCTGGTACGCGTGTTACAGGCACCTGTTGCATTGGATATTCGGTCGCCAATGGATCTGGCGTATGAATGCTTTGTCAAGCTGGGGCTGCGGTACATTTGCGTCTTGAGAGACGGCAAATATGCTGGCATGGTAAGTCGCCTCAATCCAGCATTGTTATCTCCAGGCAGTCAGGTGCTAATCATATCTGTGCTCCAGATTCACAAGAAGACGTTCGTCAAATATACGCGAGAACTAGAGGAGAAACAGGGCGGCCACTGAGAGCCGATTTTGGGCGCACATGTTGGGAAGTTGCATCAGTATAGACGATGAGGCTGTGCATTGGAAGAGCAGACCTTGTTGAGCGTCTTTGGAGGGTTTCGTCGATATTGCATAGGTCATGGCGCATTTGGCTTGAGCTTGCATGATGGCTTGGGTACCGGCTGGTCCACCATCACATGGTTTCTTGTTGTTCATTTCCTTAGCAGGCGCGCTGATATGCGCTGCCGGGTTGGCGGTATATTGCATTCCTATGTCGTGTGCTTTCGGTGCACATTCGCAGAGCATTCATTGGCCCTTGATCCAGGGTTCTGGCTATTCTTCCTGTTACTTTGATTGATAGCATTCTAGACAGACTGACTTCACTGTTCATGGTGCATACATGGACGCTTTTGTATCCTGTTAAGCAAGCCTTTTTTTCCGTCTGGATGCATGAGATTCGAGTGCCTGTATGATTGGTTGTTCGCTTGAAGAGGCTGGAAGTGCTGGCGTTGGCTCTGGTAGGTACATACATAAGGTAGAGTACATGATGCAGGGCCGGGCCGGTGCAAGCCGGAGCCGGAACGAGTTGGAGCTCTGGTGACATGTCGAGACGAGGAGATGCACCACTGGTTTATGTGTATCACTCAATGGAAATGGAATCGCATCAGGTCGAATATGCTTCAAGGAATCAAATCAAATGAATTTCAGAATAGAAAGATGCTCGCTGTTCCTTTCACACTAGGGCAACGCATGGATGCATCACCAGACCAGCTCACATATTAAAAGAGATGTCTCTGCCATTTGTCACTTACACTTTATTGCCTTAACTGGGCTCTTGGTCGAGCAAGCCCCCCACGTGGTAAAGTCGGTGCAAACTTGGCAAATAAAGTGACATGGCGCTGCAACTCCACGTGCAGCCAGCCATCTCTGGTATCAAATTACCAAATCTGATATCTTGGCGGCGCCCTTTCAACAACATAGTTGTAACAACAGGTAATTTGAGAGGAGATTAGTACCCAGGAAGAAACATACCGGTGACGAGATACGTAAGATGAATGCATCAGAGGTGGTCAGGTGGAAATGATGCGATTGGGCAATGGGGGTTGTATGAGGGGACAGAAGGCCGAAGTCGGGATGAAGATGGAGTGATACTGTACTAGTAGGTAGAAAGTGCTGATAATGCAAGTGACCACTTAGGTAGATGATACGAGTGATACTACTAGTAGGTAGTACTGGCATTATCGAAGAAGAAGATACCAAGAAGACCGAGTCGTGAAACTAAAACGATCACAGGAACGTCTACTGTACATAGATGCAGCTTATCCCGTCCTGCCCATCATCACATCACCGAATAGATCCCCTACCAAACTCGGCCAAGGACGGGACAAAGAGCGGCTGCCACCAAGAACCGGAACGGAACCATGTTACTAACGTGTAACGCCAGATCCATCTCAGCGAACCAATAGGCGTCGACAGCGCACAAGCCCCAAATCGCTGGACCGAAAGGAAAGGAAAAAGGAGGGGCGGCATCGTATCTGTGGGACGGCACCGATGCGGGGAAGATGGATTGTGTATAGTAGTAGTAGTAACGAGATGGGGAAGCTGAAGCTCATCAATGATAGGTACAGTACAGAAATTGAGAAACTGATCTACCTACCTAGGTAAGACAGAGAGGAACCGGAAGCAGCAGCCAAATTACATAACAATTGAGCTTGGGGAGGTGTCCGGCCCGGAGGCCCAATTGGACGATACATAAATAGGGACCCGAGGGGTCGCCCCAACCTCCATGGCGGAGATCGTGACCTCTTTTTCTTTTCCTCTTGTCTTTTGCCTCTTCGTTTGCTGTGACGTGACGTGAACTGTGACGTTCTGCTGTTGCTCCAACCAAAGCGAGAGGAAGACAACAAGCACAGCTGCGTCAAGAAAAAAAAGAGACAGACTTTTGGGATCCAATTGCCTTTTTCACGTGGACCGAAGCGGGGACAAGGGCAGCAGCTGTGTCACTCCTCCCGTTGTCTCACTGACATCCTGCCGCCCACGATAATCCCACATCCGACAGCTTCACCTCCTTGGTGTGGTACCTGCTCGAGGGGAAAGCAAAAGAGAAATCGGAAGTCGGAACTCGCACACACACACACACACACACACCTCACCTACAAAAGCCATTCCGCCCATCATGTCCTCCCTCCGCGCCGCTCGGGCTCTGCGCCATTCCCTCCGGACTTCATCATCACCACCAACATCATCAACAACAAGAACAAGACCCCTCCGCCCGTCGTCCTTCAACACCACCCGCTGCCTCGCCGCCGCCGCTGCCGCCAGAATGGCCTCGTCCAAGGCCTTTTTCCAGGGCGAGCCCGACGCCCCCGTGCTCAAGACAAAGATCCCCGGCGCCCAGAGCGCAAGGAAGATTGCCGAGCTGAGCGAGGTCTTTGACACGCGCGCCGTCAACATGATGGCCGACTACCCCAAGAGCGTGGGCAACTACATTGCCGACCCGGACGGCAACTATCTGCTCGACGTGTCAGTCACCATCTCTTGTTGATATTACTACTGGCAGCCATCATGTGCTAACAACTTTTCAAAACTCCAGATACGCCCAGATCGCCTCCATCCCCGTCGGCTACAACAACCCAGCCCTGGCAAAGGCCGCCTCCACGCCCGACATGGTCAACGCCATCATCAACCGCCCGGCCCTCGGCAACTTCCCCTCCCACGACTGGGCCGACATCCTCAAGACGGGCATCCTCAAGGTGGCCCCGCGAGGGCTCAACAACGTCTTCACCGCCATGGCCGGCTCCGACGCCAACGAGGTCGCCTTCAAGGCCGCCTTCATCTACCGGCGGCAGCAGGAGCGCGGCGGGCCCGACGTCGACTTTTCCCAGGAGGAGCTCGACTCGGCCATGAACAACCAGTCGCCCGGCTCGTCGTCGCTGTCCATCCTGTCCTTCAAGACGGCCTTCCACGGCCGCCTCTTCGGCACGCTGTCCACGACGCGCTCCAAGCCGATCCACAAGGTCGACATCCCGGCCTTTGACTGGCCGCAGGCCACCTTCCCGCAGCTCAAGTACCCGCTGGACCAGCACGCCGAGGAGAACGCGGCGGCGGAGCAGTCCAGCCTGGACGAGGTCGAGCGCCTCATCAAGACGTGGCACATCCCGCCCGCCGCCGTCATCGTCGAGCCCATCCAGAGCGAGGGCGGCGACAACCACGCCAGCCCCGCCTTCTTCCGCGGCCTCCGCGCCCTCACCCGCAAGCACGGCGTCCTCCTCATCGTCGACGAGGTCCAGACGGGCGTCGGCGCCACCGGCCGCTTCTGGGCCCACGACCACTGGGACCTCCAGGACCCCCCGGACATGGTCACCTTCTCGAAAAAGGCCCAGACCGCCGGCTTCTACTACGGCGACCCGGCCCTGCGGCCCAACAAGCCCTACCGCCAGTTCAACACCTGGATGGGCGATCCCGCCCGCGCCATCCTCTTCCGCGCCATCGTCGGCGAGATTGAGCGCCTCGACCTCGTCAACCACACCGCCCGCGTCGGCGACTACCTCTACGCCAAGCTCGAGCGCCTCCAGGCCAAGTACCCGGACCACTTCAGGGACCTGCGCGGCAAGGGCCAGGGCACCTTTATCGCCTTTGACAACCCCAAGCGCGACCAGTTCCTGGCAAAGGCCAAGGAGTTTGGCGTCAACATTGGCGGCAGCGGCGCGAGCGCCGTGCGGCTGAGGCCTATGCTCACGTTCCAGGAGCATCATGCTGACATTTTGGTGGATGCGCTTGAGAAGATTGTCAATGCCCTGTGAAGAGTTTCGAAATAGAATTGCAATGTAAAGAAAATTACGTCTTGACGTTGTAATATAAGATGCTGTATAACGTGAGCCGATGAAATGTTGTATCAAGTGATGTTTGAGCCGAGAATCTCATCACATCAGAGCACCTCATCAAACATCCAAGCCCCTAAGGAAAGTGTGCATTCAAAAAGAAGAAAAACGCAAATAATCATATCAAACACATCCATCCATCCATCGTCTTCAGCATAAGAGTCAAATCAATCAAACAACCAACAAACTGTTGTAAGACGAATCGATAGAAACAACAACTGGAAGGCAGATAGTATCAGTTTTGTCTATTTTCCTACCAATGACATTCATCTATTTCCTCTCCCGGAATATAATGCACGAATCACACATGCTCCCCCCCCCCCTTGCCTATTGTGTTGCTTCTCCAATAAGGACCCCGTGTTATATCACTACCTTACCTACCTTAGGTAGGTACTAGACGACATCCTTCCGCTTCTTTTCTTTTCGTGCAATCACAACACAGCACAGCACAGCACAGCACGGTGTAATACAACACAATGTGAGAAACAACTTGATAAGATGGACGCAAAGCATTCTATTCGTCACCATCTGATCATAAAAACTGCATCCTTCATTATAACCGTCTCGGTGATATATAAGACACACAACCCGTCAACATGGCCAAAAAGAAGCCAATAGAACTCATGCAGCGTGAAACAACCCAACGCCTCTATGGACAAGACAAAGCTACCTACCTACCTACCTATCTACCTTACTAACCCCGTACTGACCTTCTAAGCCGTATGCCAGAGTAGTATTCATACAATGCCCCAATCCACCAGATGCCAAAGCCGTCCGTAGTGGAAAGATCTAGGCTATCCAGGGGCTGGGACAAGAGGGAAATAAATTCAAGGGAGGAGCAGAGGTGCCGTTCAACAACAAGCCTGCCAATCTATCTGTGCGATGCAAAGGATGGAGGGAATGACGGAAGAGAAAAATACCAGTTGGAAATAAGCAGACAGCCTACCCTCTCGTAAGACATATCATCATGATTGCCAGCCCTCTCCTCGCAACCCAAAATGCTCATCAAACTCATTCAGTCCACTCGTTCAAATTGCAAATGTCAGAAAACCTCTCGTCATGCGGTACAGTTGCCAGATGCCACTGGTATGCTCATGACCATCCAGACACAGAATGGTCCAAGGAAGGTGGGGGAAATAGAGAAGAACAAAAACAACAAGACGCAAAACAAGGTAGAGGGAGAAGTTGGAGGGTATATAGTAATATCTCTCTCAGAGAAGAGAAAATGCCGCAAAAGAAGAAAGAAAAGAAAAGAAAGATTCAGACGTCCATTCTGAAGCTTTCCGATGCGTTGACTCAGAGACCTTGACAACAAAGGCAGAGAGTCTTGGCCAGCCTTAGGCTTTGATTTGAGATGGTGGCGCCGCAGACCCAACCGGCATGAGAGTGTGATGCCGCGGCTCCGGCTCGAGCGGCATGGGACGAGGCGGCTGTATCTGTTCAGTCTCGCGTACGACGATTTTGGGATCTGCCTCGGGAGGTGCTCGCTGTGGGCATGATGTCAGACAAGGCACATGCGGTTTATTCTAATTGCGACTTACCGGCCGATTGCCATAGTCCACAGATGGTGGAGGCGTGGTGACGAGCGGCAGATAAGGAGTAGGAGCTCGAGCGGGAGCGGGAGCGGGAGCTGGAGCGGGAGCAGAAGCCGGAGGCAGAGGAGGCGACGTAGAAACCGAAGCTGCACTGGTGGCAGTTCGTCTCTTCTTCCTGGCCGGTGGCGAATCAAGAGACGGCGGCGCACGGACTGGAGGCTGCGGCTGAGGGTTCTGACTTTCAGCTTGCCTGGGAGTCGCCGGCAGAATCGTGCGAGGAGTATTGGGGCCTGGAGAGAGCGGAGGCGGCTTGGGGGCGATATTGGCCAGCCGTGGAGGTGCGGCCGTCTTTCGGTCCACCCGTGGAGGACGTCCCCTCTTCTTTGGAGCCTGGTCACCCGGAGCCTCGAGGGGAAGCACTCGTCTGTCTTCGGCGCCATCTGGATGCTGCCAAGGCGACATGAGGCCCGGCGACGTTGGCAAGGCCCCAGAGGTTTGGCCGCCGGGGCTCATTCTCGGCGCCATCTGTCTGGTGTGGTTCATGCCGTTGCTGGTCAAGTGATCACTTTGAGACAGTGCGGATCGGTATCCGGAGGTCGTCGAGAGGGAGTCCACGACTTGCATGCACTGCTGAAGATTGCGGCCTATGCAGCATTAGCAACTGAGTGCATCACGGTAGAGGAACTCCTCGTTCGAGCGGGAAATTGATATTGCTGCCGTACCTGAGGGTATCTGCATGGTGATCCATTTGGGGTCGAGGACGTTCGACTCGACGAATCGCGCCAGCCTCTCGATATCAACAGTGCTGCATTTGATCATCTCCGCGAGGACGAAACGCTGTGCAAAGTAGGTTTCTGGTCAGATTTCGGCCTCCAATAACTGTGAGATGAGAAGTGTCTCCAACATACCTTTTCCTCGAGAGAAAAAGTGGTAGCCATGGTATCTGATAGAAGGAGAAAACAAAGATAGAAGCGGGTAGAAAAGAATAGTGTTGGTCGTCGTTAGAGAAGCGTAGAGCGAACGAGAATAGAACGTGGTGCCAGCCCTCGCAAGAACATTGAGCTGCGGTAGGATCCAAGCGTGAAACTACCGCCAAACGAAAGAAAGTAGAGGAAGAAAAAAACAAGTCGAAGGACAACTCCACAGAAAAAGGAGGCCTGGAGAATGACCATCCAGCTGCTGCAACACTACCAGATGCCAGACAAATGTCGAGGAAGCGTCGTGGCACGGCTCTGATCAAGATAACCTGCTTGTGATGGTTGTGCAGCCACTCCTCCACGAGACCCCTCTCAGGCAGATCTCGCAGGGCCAGTGGCCAGGGAATTTAGAGAATAAGAGAATAAAAAAAATTAGGCCTGAAACTAGTCGAGAAACGAGACCTGGTCGAGGAAAGAAGAGCCCTTGACTTGGGCAGCGATCCCTGGTTCGGTGGAGGAGAAACTGGATCCTCCCGTCTTCCCTGTCTATCGATGTCGTTGCAAGGCCCGCTAGTATCGTGAAGAGCAGAAATGCACGACACCGGCTAGCAGGCGCGCGGCTTTCCTCCAGGGCCCCGTGGCTGATACGAGCGGGTTGTTACGGGTCTCGAGGAGAAACATAAACAAATGGAGAGGCGCGGGTTGTGCAGCGTCGATCCGCGACATGCAGTAGAACGCTCGTTGCAGGCAGTGAAGCGAGCAGATGCAGAGAAAGACGAGAAGGGTGCAGATTTGCCGGGGATGGAGGCGAGCACGGCCGTTGGTGCGATATGGGTATGGTATGCCTGTCGTCAGTCGGCCGGAGCTGTCAAGTCGTACCCTGCGGGTTTATGGATGTGTTGTGACAAGATCCAAGTCCGAGGCCGGTTTGGTCGTATCGTCGACAAGTTGCAAGAAGAGGTGTTGAGGAAGAAGTAGTAGTAGTAGTAGTAGAAGAAGAAGAAGAAAAAGAAGAGAGGGGGGGTGTGTTGAGAGGCGAAAGAAGAGGGAATCAAAAGGAGACTGAGCTGCAGCCTTGAATAGTGCAAGTCGTCTCTCTCTGAAGAGGGATTGGATAGTGCCTTTGGCAGAAAAGGTTGCCACGGTGGGTTGGGGGGTGCGGAAGCCACCACTTTTTGTCCTGAGGTGCCGTTGCAGAGACTGACACTGGCCCGACACTCACTGGCGACGGGGGCGGAAGCTGCTGGAAGGCAGATGCTGGGATTTGTCGGCCAAAGGAGCCCTGCGAGGCAGCTTGTCGACGATCCGGGAGCCAGAACGAGGCGAGGCGAGGCGAGGCGTTTGCAAGCGTCCCAACAAGCCGCGCTGCGCCGCCGTGCTTTCGGGACTTTGAGGTGGTAGGACTGGACGCTGTCCCAGCAGGTAGCAGAGCAGCAAGCAGGTCGCACCTCAAGGTATCCCAAATACAGTCCTGCACGGCACTGGTGGCCTGTCTGTGCCTGTCCGTGGCGTGTAGGCGCGAGCGCGGGTTGACTGACTGGCGTCAGTCAGTCCTCAGTTTGTCAGTACCTCACCTTAGCCGAATGATACGAGTTGCGCGCAGAGCGGAGCTGCCAGTCACAAGTACTGGGCAGCAGGTCTCAGCTGCAGCGTCTCCACGGCCTGCAGCGATGGTCGAGTCGATGCTGCTCGCCCTGGATCTGGGCTTGGGGTTCAAGGCCGGGCCAAGATGATGCGTCTGCTGGCGTTGTGCAAAGGCAAAATACCTGCTGCTACAGGTAGATGCCCGCCAGACTGCCCCCCCCTGGCCATGCTTGGCGAATTCGATGGACCAGAGCAAGTCCTTCCTGGACGGAGTACCTGTACAACGCGAGGCCCTCAAAGGCGCGTACAAGACACCTCTCCTTTGCCTCGGGGCCGGAGCCAGACGCCAGAACCGAAGCCAAAGATCCAAGCCACCACACGGTATCGGTACGTCGAGCACCCACGTCAAATGATATCGTCTCGACTCGGTTTTTTGGCAACGCTCGTGCTTTGGGTACCCGGCATGGTCGACCACAAGGTATGACGGCACCCTGCAGTGGCGATTTGACACACGATCCAGTCCAAGAGGCCGCCGCACTAATGTAGGGATCAGTAGGTAGGTAGGGACAGGGTGTCGAGGGTGCAGGTAGGGGCACACGAAGCCGTAGGGAGGGCCGTCAACAGGCTGGGCCGAGGGCGTCTCTGGGTGGCGTGGCTAGCCAGTTCCAGCCGTGGCAGCAAGACAGAGACCATTGAATATCCAGCGTCTGGCAGGCCTGCCGGGGAGCTGCAGCACATCGCCAGATGGAGCCGCGTCTGCAGCCGGACCGTCTGCTGCAGTCCTTGGACCGTTGTCTCGCATGCAACGGACGGCGGAATCTGCCTGGGGTGGAGGGGGATGGGGGGTGATGAGGGGGAACTGGAAGGGTCCCCTGTAGGCGAGCCGGGGGGGTTCGACGGACGCTATACGGAGCAGAGCAGCGCCTGGTTTCTTTTTTCGTCGTCTTGTCCATGGGTAGGTTCAGTTTTTTTCTTCTCATGGCCCCGGCCTGCACTCGCATTCCTGCTGCATCTGCATCTATCTGCATCTGCATTTGCACTTGCATCGAGCGGGCATCCACCACCAGACCGCATCCCGGTGCCAGTTAAGCAATTGCAGTCCTTGCACAGCTGAGCTGAGCTGCGGGAGAAAGGACATGGACAAACGACCTGACTCGACCACTCGACAGCTCGCGTACAAGTACAGTACCTACCTAGGTACCACTACTAGGCAGGTAGACTTGCGTCTGGGTATGGTACCTAGGTACCTAAGTACAGGTAAGGTAGGCAAGGTATCGCTGTATCTCATACGAGCCCTGGAGTCCAGTATCGACAGGGATGGCCGATGGACGAGGTGAACATGGACGTGAGCAAGTCAGCCAGCCAGCATGGGCCGCGGCCTCGCGGACGGGCGCCTGTTTAGCCGGCGGGCGGGTACCAGCGACAAGTGGGATGAGGGCCCTGCGCGTGCTGCGTGCAAGTATTGGTACAAGCGACAACCAGCGACGCGAGTCTGGCCAACAAAGGCTGGGATTCGCAACCTCGGGAGCAGACAAAAAGTAGACGAACCAGGATCAGCAATCCATGGCAGTGCTGTGCTGTGCTGTGCTGTGCTGTGCTGTGGGTGTTGCCTCTGGGCTCCATCTCGAAATCTCCGTGGGCTGTTGTTGGTTGAGCGTCCGGCTGTCTGTCTGTCTTCCCTCTTTCCCTCTTCCGCCTGAGGGCAGGGCGGTCGGTTCTTCAGCAACTCCCGCCAACTGCGCCTGTCCTGTCCCTAGGTAGGGATTCGGGAGACACCCAACACGCCAATAGTGGGCAGCCCCAATAGTAGCAGCACCATCGACGGCCCCATCATCATCATCATCATCCTCGTCGTCGCAACAGTAACAACAACAACACCAGAGCAGCCCACATCGCCAGCCAAACGTCGTCATCCAGCGTATGATAAGTCACTGCCTGGCCGCCAGCATGACCAAGGTTTCATTCGTCAACCCAGCCTGCGTGCCGTTGGGCGGGTCCCTCGCGCAGATACGCAGTCGTCCACGGCCGCTTTGTTTGGCCCGTCATACCAGGGCATGGCAACTTCGGTGAATGTCGTGGCTTTGGATCTGTCCTGGCTCCATCCTGTGCAGTCTGAACGGCCATGGACTCGGCCGGCTTGTCCCCCCTCCAGGACCGCTGCTCGTCCATCCGTCCAACGGGCTTCCCCCTCCCCCAAGTTGGTCGGTCCCTCCAAGAGGATGTTCTTGCTTGCTTGCTTGCTTGCTTGCTTGCTTGCTTGCTTTATGTCGACTCCGCTGCTCGCTCTCTTCTCCCTCCCCATCCCATCCCAACCCAACCCAGCCCTTCTCCGCTGACTGTTGACGCAGCCCTCAGATTCCCCCCTCCAAGAGGGGATTTTCTCAATCTAGCTGCGCGCAAACACCCTTCGCCAGTCCCGCCAACTACCGAAGAGGCCCTTTCCCTTGACCGTCCTGCTGTCGATGGATCCCCAGCAGGGCCCCCGGGTGCTGGGCAAGGCGACGGCGCCATCCGATTTGCTGCGCGATCCCACGCCTAGGCGATGCGACACACAGCCGACGCTCCAGACGCCGTCAAGCAGCTCTTGTCGAATGGGTGTGCCCAAACCTGACGTGCAGCTGCATCGTGGCGGACCTTGTTGCGCTGAATCGGCCAATCCCACGCCGGCCATCGACCGCCTGACTGTCTTGCTTCTGCTTGCCGTTCCCTCAGCACCAAAAGCGGCAAGCCTGCTTTTTTTTTCCTGCTGCTGCTGGTCTGCTGCTGGTCCTTCTCCATTGTTGGGCGTCCTGACTTGTCGTCTCCGGTCTTTGTCGTCGTCGTCCTGCACTGCTTTTCCCCTGCTCGTCCGCGTGTCCTGGTGGTGCTCTTGCTCTGGCTGGTTCCGTTGCCGCTGCTGGCGCCCTTTTTTTCCCGTGTTCTGCCTGATCCCGTGCTGGCCTTGATCCTGACTGAACGCTGATGCTGAGCTGGGTGGGGGTGGCCTCTGGAAGTGGCCGCATCGCACCATGTATGCATCGCGGTGGCCATTTGCTCCGTGTCGGCGGGCGAGAGACTTTGTGCTCTGCGCTTGCACCATGGTACATATTACATGGTCCATATGTACATGATGCAAGGCAGGGCCCCCGAACGAGAGATTTTGCGTAGTAGACGGTCGTTTGATTGCCCGCGTGATGCAGCATGGCGTCGAGCTGACTGCAATTCGCCCATTGGCCGCGCAATGCTGGCCGCGTCCCGGACCAGAGCCCGGAGCACATTGGATGGCCACCAGACCACTGGACGGCGACGCACCAATCATGCTGCCCTCGGCGCTCTTGTCAGATGCCTCTGCCGCAGCGCAAATCCACCCGTTCGTCACCAGTCAACTGGCGAGACTCGGCGGATGGCTGCACAAGAGAGGCCATGCCCGACGAGCGGTGGCGGGCCCGTCCCGTTAG